CAAACTTAGCAAGCATACACTTTCTAGACTGTACTGCCCTTTCAACCACAGTATCAAACTGTGGATGATATGGTGAAGTGCTTGTTTTCACCACACCTAACATTTTAGTACAGTTCTACAAACAACTAGCTATTGAAGCTAGCTCCATAATCCATGTGGATCTTTCTAGGCATTCCAAGACACAGACTTCATTGTTCAGTCAAAATATGTGTAATGGGTTACATTAACATGTCAGCCAATAGTTGAGCTTCTGCTCATGTGGTGATATAATTGATAATGGCCAGTACATATCAATTACCCTTTTTTTAGTTGTGGGCAGACAACCAACTACATCTAGGGGGATTCTCTAGAGAGAGAGTTTCCTTTATTATGGCCAGTTTTCTTCTGGGCAGCTTATTTGGTAAAATGGCTACACTATCACTTACTGTCTTGACATGAATATGTCTAGAAACAAAAATGGCACACTTGCAGTAATGTGTCCTTTAAATGTAAGCTACATTAGTCACTTAAAAGTGACAGATGCATTAGACAGACCAAGTGGCATAATGGAGAATTCATTCTATCCTTTTTGAATGCTTTCATGGTCCATTTTGACTTTCAAGTATCCAGAAGAAAGATCTAGTGTATTGAAGAAATGGGTATCTAAGAATGGGCATCACATTTTCCTTTCTAAAACCCACAAAGAACCTTAGTGTTCTTTCTTTTTGGCTATCATCATTGCAGATGATAGTGAATTTCATTCATGAGTTCTATCACAGCAGTAGACAGTATTAACACATGCACTAAAGTGTGTTGTAGTACATAATACACTACGGAATATTGCTTGCACATTAGTGGAAAATTACCACATACTTTTGAATATGTAAACACACAGTCCACTGTTCTCAGGCCTAAACTGGCTAGCATTTGATGGTTTTGGTGTAGCACTGCAAAAGTGGCTGATGGTTTTTGTAGTAGAACCTTCCCTAAAATACCAATCTCTAAACCCATACCAAAGAAAATTATTATGTTACCAAATTGAAGTTGGAAATATGCATCTCCATTCCCCAGAACAAAGTTTTGCTAATTAGCTAAAGTGGTGACTTTCTATGGAGTGCCTGATACACCACAAGTTTGAGTAATGTTCTGGTTACATCAGTATCCACTATAAACTCAACCTTGTACCCTTATTGGCACATATTATATGTGATGCCAACTCTATGGCTCTCTTAACCATCCATTGTGACATTTGGTGTTTGCAAATGCCTTCCCCTGCATTGATGTGAAATTGTCCACATAAATGTCCTATTTTTCATGAGGCTGTTACTTTGGAACTTTGAACTTGGCCCTGTAGATTGCTCAATTCTTGATTGGGTTGAACCTAAAGCACAACACATTATCAACTGTTTCTGAGACATCAAGCTACTCCTTATACAAATGTTTTTAGGTATCATGTGTGGGACCATCTAGATTCAGCATCAGGCATTGTATTGCTTGTCCCAGAACCTATTCATTCCAAGCAACAACATTGCTTGAAGCTTATGAAAAAACAGTCAAAGTCATCCTTTTCCATCTCTCTAAACAGTGGTGCACTTAGTTATTTTACCTCACGTACATGATTATATGTTGATGCTGACAGAAACATACTACCAGCTTCTACTCGGCTGATGAGCTATGTACATTTGGGGGAAGCACTGGTCTTCTAGAGTTTAAGGGATGTTTTCATCCTCACTGGTGTGACATCCTCTGACTATCTTCAACAGAACATGCTAATGTGAGCCATCATAGCCACTATGACAATGCACGGTGTGATATAACACTTCATCATCAGTTCCTATCAAGTCCTTGGCCACCAGACATTCTCACAATGTCATCTTCTTCAAGAGATCATAAGATGCACACATCCTTAGGATTTTGACATCCTCAGCCTGAGGCCACAGTGCTCAGTTGCTTGAAGCCACTGTGACCCTTTCCTACTGTCCTGTATTCCAGTACATATGAAGTGACAATTGGAGATTGTTGTGATATAGACATCCAGGACAACCCAGCAAGATGCTTTTCAACCTCATGGTCTCAGAGACAGATCAAAGCTTCAGACATAACTCTCACCATAGTTGAAGAAAGCATTAGGACTAATAGAGTGCCTCTTTTACTCCTTGTCACATTCTCAAGAGTTTGACTTCTCTTCAGCTTCTTCCTCTCAATTGAAAGTTCTGTGTGATCTTAAATAGTTCAATACAATACGAGATGGAATAATAAATTCTGGTCACAACACCAAAAAGTTATTTTTTTTAGCTATTCTATGGTATTGAAGTTCACTGGTATCCATCAGATAAGTTTCATATTATCTGCAAAATGCAGAATCTCGAAGTGCAGGGAGCAAATTGAATATAGACAGGAAAGCCAATAAACACAAAGAAGTGAACAAATAAATAAAATTTTTATTTCCAATAATTTTACTTTAACTCTTAATGGCTTCTGGGGTAAAACAAAAAAGGGAAAAGATAATACCACAAAAATGGCTAATGACTAGATATACTTCCAAAATTAAGAGTAACAAATGTTTTTATTTCGTACTTGTGAAGTTCATATGTCATGCTGTGTTGTAGCTTACAGAGTGCATAATTCTTCTTGTGATTCATGTCATAACCATATTTTATTGACATTGTGACAGTACAAATTGCAATGTTAAGTGTCCCTTATGTGACATTATTTCAGTGTCTACTGACTGACTGACTGACTGACTGACAGACAACACACTAGTGTATAGTGGTGGGAATGGTTAAAACAGGTGACCCCTCCAAGTGGTCTATGGCCCGCTTTCAGTAAAATAAATAGATGTTTTCATTCTCACAATGTATTGGGCTGGGATGTTTTTTCTCTGGTGAGTTTGATCTTTTAAAACTTGAAAATCACCAGAGGAAGGGTGTCTCAGCCATAAACATTCTGAACATTAAAACATCTATTTATAATTAGCCATGTTTTTTGTGTTGTAATTTTTTTTCCCCAATTTTATTTTTGATTTAATCATACCACAGCAGTATTTAGCTGATTTTGGCTTCTGAAGTGAGTTCCTTTTCTAAAATACGTGCACAGGACAAAGATAAGTGTTGTATACCAAACTATAGTGCTGCATATATAACTGCTTATTTCAACTAATATTTATATGGGGAAAAAGGAAATAAGTTATATCAGTTTATACAAGTATATGAGCCAAATGGTTTCACTCCTGATATATGCACACTTTATATAAGTATAAGAATTAACATATGTTTATGAACTTCTGACATTCAATAAACAAGAACATCATATGCAGAACACCTACAAGAAAATTTAGAAAAAATTCCGCAAATATACTTGGCTAAAGATATAATTTAAACTTGATATGGAAGGATGAAATTCATTTTACTGTTTCAGTCATCACATTTTTTAAGAACACTATCTAAATTATGCCAGAACTTTTAATTATTTATTCATTTAGTTAGTAATATATTTTACACACATTTGAAGTTTGCAAAGGTTTTTTTGTAAGTTATTTAGAGTTCACCAAAAAGTAGCCATGTTAGAAGATTATGTGTTTAAACATTAAGCACATTCTAGGAAACAGTGTTGGTGTATAGTTTATTTCTTTCAATTGCAACATTGTTTTTCCTTAAATTTGTAACCTTAGATCAAAGTATCATTTTAAGATAAAAGTTTACATGTTAGCAACAAATTGAAAAATTACATATATATAATTATTAGTTGCACAACCAAAAATATACCTTATGCACAAAATCATAATAAGTATATAGAAATAAATGATTTTAAAAAGCATTATAAACCTGAATTTAGGGATATTATTTTAACAGATAAGGAACTGCATTGGAAGAATTTCAAATGTGTGATTTATTTTGACAGAATTCAACTGTTTGCATTCTAATTTTTAATACAGAAGTTTTCTAAATAACCTTGTGTGTATATAAAATTTTCATCTTTTATGGCATTTCAAATTATTACAGTTTACAGCCAGTAGAAAATGTTTCTCATTTTGTTAGTGCAGAATAATTTAAGGATGTACATTTCCATATACTTTCTCAAACATAATGAAACAGTTTTTATTGAATACGCATATATAGTTGTTAATGTTTCCTACAACATTTCCTACAACCAGAAAGTAGTCAAATATTATATGATTAACTGTGTTTGTTTTGTGTATGTTGCCTGTATCAGAACATACATATAATTTTGTTAATAGTGTCACAGTTGATGGTTAACATAGTTGATTAGATGTATTTAAGATGTGCATTTGAACCATCTGTACATGGAGTTCCATTTCATGAAGAGAGAGTTTTTGAAAAATAAAAGTATAAACCTCATTCTCTTTAATATTGGAAATACTCTTTACTAGACATAAATGGGACACCAAAATTCAATTCTAAAATGTATGTCTTCATACTTTATGGGTATATCTTTATAAGTGTCTCAGACTTGTGATTGATTAATTTAGAATGCTAAAGAGGAGAGGGAAATCTAAGTTAGAACCAGATGCTACTACTGTTCTACAATTGGATGATTTTCATTCAATCTTTCATTGGGACTATAACGTTTCTAATGTACAAAGTATTTCACACATATACAATAATTTAAGAGCATACATTGTAGAGCCATTAAGTACTGATGTTCAGTTAATGTATAAATAGCTATTACACCTTTGTATATAGATGATGTATATAAAATGCTTGAGACAAAAAAAAAAGGGTTGGGCACAAGGCTTGAGAAAACTATTGTTTATTTGAAATATTATGGGAAATGTAAAAGATGTTTCCACCAGTTTCATGTATTATTGTGGGGTCACTGACCTTTACATATATAAGAATCAAGTGTTGAAGAATGAGAGATTATTAGATTATTCAAGCACTTCAGTAAAGCATGTGTTTGTGGCATTGAATTAATTAATTTTTATTATAATAAATTCTTCAACTATCTGTACGTAAACAAAAGTATGTCAGAAATGTTTAATATTAAATTCATTTATATAGGTGTAAAAGTAAGCTATATCTGTCCAAACTGCCAACAGCTAGTGTTGTTGTTCCTTTTCATAATGAACACTGGACAACTTTGTTGCGTACTGCCACTAGTGTACTGAATCGATCACCACCTGGCCTAGTCAAAGAAGTTATATTAGTTGATGATTTTAGCAGCAAAGGTAAGATAAACCTCTGATTTTCAAACATTTTAGAAATTTTCATTTAAATAACTTTTGGATTTCACTAGTACTTAGCACAGAAATAAAAGTTAGGTATAATTTAATAGTCTTTTGATTTTGTTTATGAATAAGAGTCATCTTTATTTTAGAACAAGAAAAAAAAAATAGACTGAAATGAAAATTAAGTAAGGGTAGGAATAAATTTATGTGAAGTAAACCACAGGCCAGTAAAAGCATTTACTGCTCAGGCATGTTCTAGAATGAATTGTGGCTTAACACACATTTGCTAATGTATTTTTGGGTTGATACTGTTAGCTGATTCAACTTTGTATTTGCATTGAGTTGTTTGAATTTATTCACATTGATATGTTTTATGTTTCAGAGGAACTTAAGGGAGCTCTTGAAGATTATATCAAAAGACATTTCAGTAACGTTCGAGTTATTCGAGCAAAAAAACGAGAAGGTTTGATTCGAGCTCGACTAATGGGTGCTCGTGAAGCAACAGGGGATGTAGTCATATTTTTGGACTCCCACACAGAAGCTAATGTTAACTGGTTACCTCCTCTCTTAGGTATCAAAGTTTCTATTCACTGAAATAAGCTCTGTGGCTAATTGTTAGGTGTAGAATTTCTCATGTACACTTTGTTCTTTAAGATGCAACAGTAATAAATTTTTGTAATTTTTTAGGGTTTTGTATTGAAAAGCTGAAATTATTACAAATATAGTATTTATTAGTAATTAAAATAAAGGATAATTTTTTTCTCTTCTGGTTTTCCTAATTTTCTATTATAGTAATACTACTTACATTGTGTGTAAAATATCTTTGTATACCTAATGTTTTCAGAATCATAACTAAGATAGTTGTAACAGCTTTGGTAATAAAATTCAGGTAATTCTATGTTGAAAACATAATTTTTTTTCCCAATCAAGAAATTTAATCTCTGTTAAAGAAAAACCTTTTTTTAATATAGCAAATTACTTTTGTCATATGATGGTACATTATTATTCTTAAATTTCATAAAATGAATTTGTGTTGTATTTAAAAAATATTGTAACCATTTTTAAAAACACCAACCTCTTGTAAAAGGTGAATATATTTTTCTAGTCAGTTAAAGTTTACGACTTTAATAACTTTTATTATCATTCAGTTCTTTAGAAAATTACAAAGTATTAAAGCTCAAACAAACAAAAAGCTACAGGTAAATAAAATTATTCTCAATTTCTTACACATAATTATAGTAGAATTAATTAATTAATAGTATATTAAGTTTTGTGTCTAGGATTATGGCTATAGTAAATGTTTTGGTAATTTATTTTATGCATGTATGTGTTAGTGGTATAAAATATTTTTTCCCCCAACTTTTTTGATAAATCTAACCCTCTTTACCCTTTCATTAATTTTTAATCATTACAGACTTCAGTAGTTGATTTACATTCATCACGGGTTTCAAATAGCAAAAATAAACCACCTTTGTATATACTCCTATGTGTATAGCATTACATCAGAAAATAAATGATTGTTCATATGTCTTTAGCAGTTACTATTGTTTTATTTAAATACATAATGAATTGATGTAGTGTATAAGACTTTGTTTGTTATTAGATTTAAATGTGCAAAATTACTTTCTTTTTTATCATACAGAACCCATAGCTGAGGATCATCGTACTGTGGTTTGTCCTTTTATTGATGTCTTAGATTACGAAACATTTGCCTATAGGGCTCAAGATGAAGGTGCTCGGGGCTCTTTTGATTGGGAACTTTATTATAAACGTTTACCATTATTGCCAGAAGATCTACAACATCCAACTGAACCTTTCAGGTTTGTTTGTTTTATCTATGTGTAATAAAATTACAACTCAAGCTTCTGTACTTCATTGTTTGTTTATGATGTTATGACATATTACTGATCCATATTCTTTTTCAATATTCAAAAAAGAAGGAAAAATAAGATATAGATGCCTTAAAATCAGTTTTGTAACACTGTTACCTACAGAAAACAATATTTTGACCTTTGTATTAATTTTTAGGGCATCAAGCACTTTGTTTACTGAATAACTGAGATTAATAAATTAGTAGCATAAATTCTACATATTCTTTAATGCCTTTATGGTGAGTAAAGCAACAAAAACATCATACATATATAATATAGTAAATTATCCTGGTTAAAGTGTTTTCAATAATTATATTTCATTTAAATTTAAGACCTGTTTATACGTAGTTATTCATATTTCATTGAATAGTTTTAATACAAATTGTTGTTCTAAAGTCCTTCTAGTTATATATTTAAGATTTAATGTTTTAACCATTGTACTTATTTTATTTTTTGTGTTTTCAAACTTGCTTCCATTAAAGTTTTCAAATGTTTAGATGAATGAGCATGATATGTTTGTAGCATTCTTTTGTTTTGTATTTGTTATACTTATATTTATTCTTAATGTATAATTGTGAAGGATTTTTTTTTATGTGTTTGAATACATTTTTGGTACTTCCTTATTTTCAACAGAAGTCCTGTTATGGCAGGAGGATTATTTGCCATTGACAGAGAATTTTTTGGGGAATTAGGAGGCTATGATGAGGGACTAGATGTTTGGGGTGGTGAGCAGTATGAGTTGTCTTTTAAGATATGGCAGTGTGGAGGGCAAATGGTGGATGCTCCATGTTCACGAATTGGTCACATTTATCGAAAGTTTGCTCCTTTCCCAAATCCAGGCATAGGAGATTTTGTTGGTAGGGTAAGTACCAAACAAAATCAGTATCTAGATACTTTTTTTGGTAAACTGTGTGACAACAATGATAAAAACATTAGTGATTTCATACAGAAACTTTTGGATTGCTTCATTAATCAGTTTGTTAATACAAATAACAGTCATGACCAATCTATCTTTACAATTAACCTATTTTTTTTACATAATGAAAACTTTTCACAAAAGGAAACTACAACAAGAAAACGTGACTATTAAAGTGTTTTACATGGAGAAAATGGCTAAAACAACATTATTTTGCAATTTAATATACTGTACTTTAATATTATTAACTTGTTTTTTTGATCTAGATATTCCTTTTAGAGTGTTTCTCATGCTGTCAACAAACATGTGACTAACATTTTGAATGTTCTTCACACAATTCAGAGCATGCCTAACTTACCCATTGTTCTCTACTCTCCCCATTCCACATGATTTATTGTACTTACGTTAAGAGGATGTCTATAATTTGTGCTTTTTCAACATAATTCCATTTTTTCATGATCTTGAACAAGATTGAACATTTTGTGTAGGCTTATTTACCATCTGTGTTTGCAGAGCAGAATTTGTATGTTAAGAATAATCCTGAAAAAGTATATGCTGGTCTCATGCATTTCTTTTTTCTCTCAGATATGTTCTATTTTAAAACTTTAATCAATTTCTCTTACACCTGTTGTTACTAGTGGCACGTTAGACAATTCAACAGTTGAATCTATTTTTTCCACCTTTGTCTGATATTTGGATTGCTGTTGGTGGTTTTAGAAACCAGCAGAATATTAGTAACCTTAATATTCCTTACATTCATCATGTGGGTGGATTTTTAGCATTGTCATATTCCACTACTCATATTACTTCTCAAGTTTTTGACCCTTAGATTGGTTATTAGAGTGGGGTCTCTCATATGGTCTTCCACTTTAATCCAACATCAGTTTCCAGCACTGGGTGTTTGTGAGACTTTCTGCTTCTGCATAGTTATTAGCTATTCCTGCTCTCCTGATTCTTTTAGTCAAGATCAAATATCTGTCTTGCAGTCTTGTGGCTTTTATGTTCATTTAACACATTAGCCCAGATTTCTGATTTACAAGTAACTCATTTCCCCCTCAACATTCCAGCTGACCTCAAAAGAGCTTTCTTTCTGCATCTTTTGACTTTGCAGGTCTTTCATGCAAATTAGATTCCCATTCAGGAGAAGCAGGAGAAGGTGATAGGGTTTTAGCACCTTGTTTTGCTTCTGGTCTTCATTCTTTTTCATAATGTTCTTTCTTCTCTCTTGCCTTCTTTGTCTAATTCTCAGTAAATACCTGCTGTATCTATGTGTACCTTTAAGCTCTTTTGACTGGACAAATACTGTAAGAGGGCAAAGTTAGTTTTGGGTTTTTGACCTGCTTGTTGACTCTCTCCTATTGTGGAAAACTCCTCCATCTGGAATTTTGGGGGAGGTCATTTCTGGCATTTTGTTATTATCTATGGGACCCTTGGTTTCAACAGATCCTTCAGTTTGTTCTTAAGTCTAATAGTTTACAATTCTGAAAATCATGGCTTTTGGGTGACAAAGATAGATGTACAGGATGCTTATTTTCATATCCTATTCATCTGTCATCATGTCATTTTCTCCATTATTCCCAGTAGGGATGGTTTATCAGTTCACTCTCTACTCTTCAACTTGGCCTCATTTACATACATTTTTGGACAAATACTAAAAGTGTTTTCTGGTTTTATACATTACCTCAACATCAACTCTCACTTGTGCATTGATGATTAGCTTATTCTGACCCTTTTTTTCCATTCAATCTCACACATACTCATTTGATACACCCAACTAGCTACAGCTCTAAGATGGATCATCTGGGACTTTGACGCTAGCTCCTTTGGTGTTGTAAACCTTGGATCTTTCTGTTCATACTCTTCTGTCTTGTACATTTTCTGTCAAAGACATCCTTTCTGCTTTGGAAATAATGGCTACACTACACAATGTCATTCACTTAAGATGCACATGCATCACCTACAATGGGACCTTAATCACTTCTCAATGGCATCTCACTTCAAACTCATTATCATGTATGATCAACAGTTCTACCATTACTCTTGTGATTCTCCAGCTTTGATTGAATTGAGAGTCTGTAACAGCAGGAACTTCTTTTATTTCTTTTTCTCTCAACCATTGTCTTTTCACAGATTTGAGGGTTGGGTTACTGTGTGAGGGAATCGACATCATTGTTGTTCTTGGACTCTTCAAAAAGTAACAACTCATATTAACATGTTAGAACTTTGGACTATTCAATTTGCATACCCTATGCTTTTGTCCCTGCTAATAGCTTTAACCTGTATGAGAAACAACTTACTATTTAATTTTCTAAATCTAATAGGTTATGTCATTGCACTTTCTTACAGTGTCAAGTCCATTCTCAGGTTTTCCTGGGTCTCTTTTATTTTCTCTGGGTACATGGCATTCATCTTACTACAACTAGGAGATATGTGATTTCCATCATGATGACAACTATGTATATATGTCCTCCTGATGCAAGTGGAATGTGGGAGAGTGGAGAATAGACACCTGTTTGCATTTAATTTAATTCTAAAAATATAACATTTCAAAAGAAAGCTTTAATACATCTTGCTTGGCCCTACTAAAATAGTTATTTTTCAAAAGATTAATGATAATAGATTATTTTGGATGAACTTTAAAATAAAATAATCTTTATTTTTTTATTAAAATATCCTGTAAAGTTAATGTTTTCTTTATAAATAAAGTTGTAATTTTCATTGAAGATTGATTTATTTTTATAGAATTATAAGCGTGTAGCTGAAGTCTGGATGGATGAATATAAAGAATACCTTTATAAACGGAGACCCCACTACCGTAACCTTGATCCAGGGAATATTTCAAAACAGAGAGCTCTGAGGGAAACTCTAAAATGTAAACCTTTCAAATGGTTCATGGAAAATGTTGCCTTTGACCAACCTAAGAAGTACCCCCCTGTTGAACCACCAGATTATGCAAAAGGAGAAGTAAATAAACTTTGTATTTGAAATTAGAATTAAACTTAAGTTTAGTATTTAGGACTAACTTAAATTTCCTATACTGGCTGTACCTTGTGAGACATCATTGGGATTATGACTGAAAATATTAACGGCAAGGGAACCCAGCCGATTAAACTATTCATTTTATAAGTAAAAACATAAGAAAAGTATATTTGATTAGCTTTATTGTTGGCCTTGTTGATTTTTGGTTCAGAAGTTATTATTATTTACATACTTTTATTTTTATCTGTGATTATTAAGTTTTTTGTATCTACAGTATGATACAACTAAGTCACAAGTACAATTTTATAATTTTAATAAAATTGTAGCAGAGTGTCAATTTAATGATGGTTTAACAACTAGCTGAACGATGATTTTCTGAATATTTTATAATAAAAGTATGTACAGTATCTGGCATATTTTTGCTGTTTCTTAATAAAAGTTAAACATGTTAGTTATAGTTACAAATCCTATTACAATATTTGAAAAATTAGTGATTCTTTAGTTTTCTGTATGGAGATCTGCATTGATTATATCAACTGCAAAACTTACCTAAGCTAATTTACTTCCTAAGGTAAGTTTTAAGATGATACATTAAACAATCATGTCATGATACCAGTCATAATGATGATTGTGAAATAGATTTAAACCTTAATATTGTTAAAATTTCATCTAATTTCTCCTTTTACCATTACATTTGTAAATATTAAGTATCTGGCAGATACTAATTAAGTTTGGGATGTGCATAAAATTCAAAAACTGTCTTAAGAGTCTCATTTAAAAAAACATTTATGTAGTTGCATTTACAGATCTTGCATATCAAAGTTCAAGAGTAATACATATACTTCTCTTTCTTTGATTAATGTATAGGTATACTTGTCTTGGAATAACTTATTTCTGTACAAATTTACTATATTCTAGTACTAGTATTGTTATGGTGTAACCTTTACTCTTATAGTTGTTCATCAAAAATCTGCATTAAGACACCTATTATGTGATGAGTTAAAAGTTGCTCAGCTACCCAACTTAAAAACACAACTAGGCTATTATGGGAAAAACCATAGTAGAAGTTATAAAAGTTATGAGATTTTTCAAAATTCTTGAATTAGGTTTACTATTATTGATAATAGCATTAAAATCTTGCTACTTGGGGTTATTAAAGTTACATAACTAACTGTAAAGAACGTGTAGAAAATAAAAGAATATAAAGCAAACCTTCTTAGGCTTAATTAAGAACTACAATATTTCAGTTTTAGTTAAATACTTTCAATCCCATAACTTTGAGTTTTAAAACTGTCCTAGTTTCTGTGCATGCTCGAGGATTACTTACCATGATATGAAATATGAATAACAATAGACCACCATTTTGTTCTTCAAGGCTGTCCAATTTGATGTCCACCCTTTATTTTTTAGGAAGTCATTGGTTCCTCTCTTAATTTATAGTGGCTATAACAAATGAGAATATGAAAATTAGTTTAAGCAAAACAGACATACATCCTTAAAGGAAGCCATGCAGTTGGTAATGGAATTTGAATCCATTAAAATCACAAATAAGCAACTAAAGAAATCATCTCAAAGTTACGAGATTATCAGATTGAGTGGTATCAAAATTTCAACTCCCAACAATAAAATAAAAAAATTTAAATTATTTGTCAGACAAATAGTTACACAGAATGGAGGAAATAAACAAATAAACCACAAGTCAATAGATGTTTCAAGTGTAACTTGACATATTGACATAAACAGCAGCCAAAAACCTGTATCTAGTAAGAACTGTTTCCAACAATGATGAAAGAAGATGGATTGATGTGAACAGCAGGTGGACATAAAGTTCCAGCAAGAGAAAAGTTGGAAGTTACCCTTATTGTAGGATAATTGACATCAAGAAAGAGTGCATACTAGGAGCTGATTTCCTGCAGAGACATGTTTGGGAGGTTAGGCTAGCTTCAAATAGCTTCATAGTCTATGACCAGGAAATTCCTATTGACTAAATGACAATTACTGCACCAGAGGTTGAACTCTGCAACAAGGATGGAAGTTATTGTACCACCAAGAAGTGAATTACTCATACTAGGACTTGTTACAAATAAATTTAGCTCTAGTGACCGGGCTGTGTCCTGAAGGATTAATGGTTGAAAGAACTATCGATCTGAAAAATAAAAATGTCATCATTAGGGTCCTGAACAAAACAAACTATAAGTTTCAAGTCAAGTCTGGATAAAACATTGGAAGAGGTGAAGCTCTATATGTAGTACTTCTATCTGAGAAAACATCAGATTTAGTCACCTTTGAAACAAGACATAGGAAGTCTGTCAAATCCTTACATAAGAACAGCTACTACTTCTCTTAGAAGAGCTGTATGATTAGAGCTGTTATAATTTTACAGCTGGTCAGAGCTAGAGATAATATAATTTGCTTAAAGAATATAAGGAAACCATTTCTAATGAGCATTATGATTGAAACTGAACAAATAAAATATCTCACAAGATTGATCCTGGAGATGCAGCCCCAATACTTTCATTAGCCAGATGACCCTCACTTGCAAAACAAGCTGAGGCTTTCAAGGAGATAGAAGTCATCAAGGAACAAGATGGACAGAACTGATTGCTAGTTCTTGGGAATCACCTATTGTACTAGTGAAGAAGAAGAAAGTATTCACAAGGTTCTGCTTGGACTACTGGAAGATGAGTGAAATTATAAAGAAGGATGCCTACCCACTGTCAAGAATTTACTCTACTTTGTACGCTCTGTTTGAATCAAAATGATTTTCAACTTTGGATCTTAACAGTGAATATTTTCAAGCAAGTTGATGAAGTAAGTATAGAGAAGACAGCTTTTTCTGCAGGAAATGGATTGTGGCAGTTTGTTATATTACCATTTGGATTACATAATGCATCTGCTACATCTCAATAACTAATTGAATGTGTTTTTTCTCAGCTAACATGGATCATTGTACTCGTATACTTGAATGACATAATCACTCAAGGGAAGACCTTTCATAATGCATATGATGGATTAATAAAGTTCTAGATCAGTTGAGGAAAAAAAATCTTATTCTGCATTTTCTGGAACACATAATTAGTAGAGAAGTGTTTACAGACTCATCTAAGGTTGAATCTCTTCACAACTGGATAACACCAAGGAACTTGTGTGAGGTAAGAAGATTTTTTTGGACTATGCTCTTACTATAGTCATTTATTAATATTATTTTCTGACAGAGCTCAACCTCTACACAAATTACTTGGAAAGCTAAATAAATTTTGTTTGACTGGTGATTGCAAACAAGCATTAAATAAACTTTAAAAAAAGAATTAACTAAGACTCCTGTACTGGCACATCCAAGTCTTGAGATACACTCATTTTAGATACAGATGTTTTTGCAATATGAGCAGTGTTATCACAAGTATAGCATGGAAAAAATCGTGATTACTTTCTATAGGAAGGCAATGAATGCTGTAAAAAGGAGGCTTTATACAACTCAGAAATAGCTACTAAATGTTGTTTTAGCCCTAAGTCATTTCCTCCATAAACTATATTAGCAGAAATGCCACCCTAAAGGCAGTTGTTTGTGCTAATAATTACTTATCATAGTATTCATACCTCATTGAAAAAAAGTTTAGAAAAAGTGAACATTTTCTAAAAGATTTTTTTCTGGGAAGTACTGTACAGGAAAAGTGTTCGAATTGTGCTCTTTAGTCATACGCAACTCATTGCATCAAAATGATTTAATGTACTGAGCTCAGAATTTTCATAACTTTTACTGATATAAACTGTAATGTTTTATATATTAAAAGTGGTACTGTTTATTGAAAAAATAATAGTTTTTAAAAAACTCTAGTTTCTCATTACTATATTTAAAAATTACATCAATAAAGATTTAATCAAACCCTCATGTACAGTACTAGTGAAAGTTGTGTTCTTATTGTGAGGAGAGTATTTTTATTTAAAATTGTATTCTATTATAAAGAAATGGTTGTTGCACATACTACGGTTATTTTTCTAAGTGTCTGAATCTTGAATACCCAGAGTGTGAAATTTATTGTGGATTTTTGTTTGTGGTGCCATTCAATAGATGGTGCAGAAGTTTTGGTTACTTACATAGATACTGACATAAAAGCTACGGTCATTATAGTAAGATGGACAGAAGTTTACACTTCAGACAGATCATGCACACTGAAGTGGCTGGTGAGTTTTTGCAATTCAGTAGACCAAGTAGTAAGATGGCTTTAAAAACTCCAAGAGTACAACTTTAACATCATGTAAATGCTGTGAAAAGAGGGAAGCACAAATTAGTAAAGATGACAAAGTATAATTCAAGATGTTACATCCATTCATAATAATGAAGAACTAATGGGATCCAACACTCCACTGAAACATTTCCAGTTGAAAACAGTTATTCATTGGATCAAGAATAGTACAGAGAAACCCTGATGGAAAATAGTCACTCCATACAGCTTGAAGAGAAAAATATATTGGGCTTTTTATATCAGAAATGGGAAGAAACAATGTTCACAGTTGATACATACACAGTCACTACATTCTAAAGAACTCCATTATCTCCCCCTCAAAATGGATTCCTGTACGTGGTGAGGGGACTTCCCAGGGAAAGTTCTGTATCCTCAGTTTACCTCCTCTGGGATCCAAACATCCACCCACATGTTTGCTGTGTTTAGCATCCCGTGAAAGGAAGGAGAGGATCCTTGTGGTTAAAAGGTGTCATTGATGAGTCAGTTTATGTTAGTGGCACTTTAACACATCATTTTGATCCTGAATTTCTGTAGACGGATGGCCCAGGGTCATTTGGCTGGTCCTGTTGAGCTGTTGTCAACTAAGTACCATTGTTGGACATTCTCAATGGGTGTTGTGGACATTGTGTTTGATGCTGGTGTTTGGACATAGTATCCACAAAACTCTGCACCTCTACAATGTTCTACTTTAGCATTGTAGTGCAACTCCTTGTAGGATTCCATGGTGGTTGGGGTCAGAGG